ATAGCCCAAAATTGACCATGCATGCATTTAAAACAACTACAATTTGAAAAAAACAACTACAATTTGCTCGACAATTTGAAAACTTAAATATATAACCGTTTTTGTGTTAACCAGCCGGCCTGCTCGGAATCCATTGAAAGTTCATTGTAAATTGTTTTTAACTAATTGATTTGATTTCTATTATTGGTATAACTGCCACCGACACTCCAAAAATATTCAGCGTGAATCTTTTTTCGTGCGTCTGCAGTCGTTGACATTGCAGTGACAGTGTTACGGAAAACTATAAAGGCTGCAAAATATCTCCAATTTATGAAAAAAGCACAAAAAAGCACCGTTCAATTTTACTTGAGACATAAAGCCAAGTTAAATGTCTATAGTTTGGTGTGTACAAATTTATCTCAACCTATCTCAACGAGGAGAAAACACTATTTTAAATACGTCCGCGCTTTGACAAAAAAGAAAAAATGTGTGCTTATATTATTCATTTGAACTTGATTACTTGAAGTTTTGGTGTGATAATTTAAAACTGTGACATTGATTAAAAGTCAAAATGTTATCGGAAATACTTGCATTAAAGATGGATGACATTTTGAAGTTAGCACAAAATATAAAGCTAGACGAATCTAGTGTTCAAGGTAAGAGTAGATTTATGATTCTAAAGGTTATACGGGAAGCTATAGAAGAGACAGAATGTGTGACATATATAGAAAGTATTAAAGTATTTCTTGGTCCACCACCGCTCGAAGAGCCGGATGATCAAGGGGAGGGACCCCAGAAAGAAGTAGAAGTTTCAGAAGTGGGACCCCAGGAAAAATCAGAAGTTGTAGAATTGGAAGAGAAGATACAAGAATTGTTGAGTAAACAAAAAGAAATCAAACTAAAGGCTCAAGAGAAAAAGGGAACAGGTGTTAGTAAGAAGAGTCCTGTTCAACCAGAAAATGTTATAAAAGTACCATTGGCAAATCTTGAAAAGAGTCTGCTACCCCGAGATTTTAAGATACAAGGTGTAGTCGGGGAACCCGGACAGAAAGATAAGTTGGGGTATCAATCATTAGTTTCCCAAATTGAAGCCGGTGTTAGAAAACAATACTCTGAACTAGAAATTGTTAATGCAGTAGTTCGAGCAGTCCAACCAGGACTTCAGTTAAGAAGTTATTTGGAAAGTGTTACAGA